CGGCAATGATTCTTTCTCATTCAATTATAAAATATAAAAAAAAGCACACAAACACATACAACTGGATTGATTATCCGTGATTAATATTTGTTGCTGTCATGTTGTCTCTGTTGCCTTAGTTTGTTGCATGTACTGATGTATTACACTGATTCAAGTGTTCAATATCAAGTTTTTTTTTTTGCTTTTATGGCTATGTGTTTTTTGTTCCAGGCTGTGGCTTGCTACTAATTTTTCAGAATAATTTTTCGCCAAGTCAAAACAACGGCAATCTATAAGTGATGCTCCATTTGACATCGCGACGAAAATAATAAACAAATTCGTATAATAACGTAAATTCATGAATTTCTTGACTCTTCTCCATTCTTTTATGGCATTCGATTAATGTCATTCAACTAGGCACATGCATGAAAAGTATCAAACGCACAATACAGTGAATGAACAGAAGATTGACAGCGAATCCAACAAAGAGCATCATCCACAGCGGGTGTATTATATAAAATTGCTATATTTTATAAGACTCTTGATATGTATGTTGAAGTGAATATTCACACAGTGATCCAGAAGAAAAAAAACCGAATATGCAACACCGTTTGATGTGATATCAAGTTCAGTGAGCATGTGAGCATGATTGCGACACATCCATCGAACCAATTGTAACTGTATCGTACACGCTCAACGTATATTTATATAATATAGAATTGATTGGCTCGTAAATCGTTGTCGATGTTCATAACATCCATCGAAGCGGCATGATAAAAAAAACAAACAGTCATATTGTTATCGAATAAATTGTACCCACACAATGAAACCAAGTTACAATTCATATTAACTGACCAAGCGAGCGTTCAGTTTTCAATTTATATCGAACTATAGAAATAAGCTCAGTTACAAGTTAATACACTTCATTTGAGAATTATATCGGCTCTGGCCATTACGTGTTCCAGTGGGCGATTAACACTGCTTCACTATCACGAATCACCACGGAACAAAGTGTGGATTTAATCATAGAATCTCAAATTACTGTATACGTATTGTTGAACGCCCATTCAGTAGAACCGTGAATCGACCGTTACAAAATAGGAGAATTAAAAATCATTTTCATTTCATCTACGATGGTGAATATTCATTAATCTAATTGAAGCGGCTCGATTTGCGGTTACACTGAAACTCTATCAGGCACTAGTATACGGAATGAGAACAAAACAAAGAATGGAAAAAAAAACATGACTGTTTTCAAAAATTACACTGAAAGAAAAAAACAACTGAATCTCTGAGTCATTGAATCATGAAGTATGATGTGCCGTCATCTCGTCGTAGGAAGTGCAGTTGTTGTAATGGTTAAACAAACCAGAATAGCCCCAATTATTTATGGTTTATCATAGACTTTTTATAGATAATTTCAACGCTTGCGCAGAAACAATTGCGTTTCCGTTTGATGCCGATTACATGCGTGGAAATGAGTGATTTTTTTAAAAAATCATTTCAACTTATTTTTATTTACTTTCCGTTACACTTTTCCCAATATTTACATAAAAGTTGCAGATAAGATTATCCATTTCATGCTGATGGCAAATTATTGCAATGCTCATGGAGTTTGTGGTTGTCATTTCAAAACGACAACCATACGTGTCAACAAATTGTTCAAATTTGTAAATGTGATGGACGATAGACGCTCTGTGTTCAATGACCCTCATAAAATTTGAGAGGATGACACAAATTAGATTCGTGTGTCAATTGGTCTCGAGAGTGCCGATCGTCACACATTGTGAACATGACAACAATACGCTGCGATATTGGATTGATAAAGCGACAAGCGGAAAATGAATATAATTGGGTGAAATGACGGAGGCTTATATGCTACGCACACATACGTCACACATCAATGAATTATTATCAACATAAAAAAAAATCGTACACGTTCACCAAAAACATATCACTGGAATTCCACTCAGCTGTTAGGGCATTTCCATGTCAAATACAAATCATACCACTCAAATATACGGTCAGGTCATATTTTATAATCGCAACTAAATCAAATGTTTCATTCAGTGGACATTGACCAAAACGAAGCAAACTCAGTATAAGCATTCACTTTTTTGAGAACAGCATGACACTCGGCGTATGAGACTTAATCGAATTGATAATAAAATGAGATTGAAGTTGATCAAAACAGTCAAAAGTTATCAGTAATATGAATCAGCATCGGTTGGACTTTCATTTTTCAATAGAACTCACGTTGTTCGCCAATGGACTGACAAATGTCATATAACTGGTTTATTTTTGTGGCGTCCTGGGGAGCAGTTTCTATGTGGAAAATTGATAACAACAACCATGTTCGTTCATTGTTATTTGCAGGCACGATGCATGTGCCAAAAACGTTGATGAAAATGCTTAGCATTTAATATTTTTAATTTCTATTGACTTAAAACTGTTTAAATTACAATCGGAATGTTGGCAACAAGCAGAACATTTTTTCCAATCGATTATTACGCTAAACAAGTGGTTTTTATTTCGGATGAGGACAGACAATGAATTTATAATTCAATGAACATAGCACGGTTATCGCAACTCAAAATGGGAAACCTTTCCCGCCACAACTTCATACACAGTACATGCCTAGTAAGTGTTGTGTGACGTCATAGTGCCCATAGTCGCACAGCAAGGTTATTACTTTTTTGTGTCAATTGGAATCTTACATAGCAGCTTTTTCTCTTTTCATGTGTTTTTTTTTCATCTCTTTTGTGAATTGCCGCTCACTGTTCATATTCCGAATTAAAACAGAAAAAAAAACCAGACACGCAGTGAGTCAAACAGTAGCAACATGTTGTTTACAATCGCAACTGTCGTCGTCGTCGTCGTCGTCATCATGATTGTGATTGTATAGCCATCGCTAGTTGTTTCATTCACTCATACACGTAATGCAATCGATACGTATTTCTGAGTCAGCTGACTGACAAATCAACGCTTACAAATGTAGAAAACGACGTAAATGCTTTCAAATTGATCTGTATAAAATACCAGAGCGGTGGCAAAGATGACGACAAGAAGAGAGAGAGAGAGAGAGAGAGGAAAAAATCTCACGAAGTTATGCGTTGTACGTGTAGCTTTGCTGCTTGATTGCGAAGAGCCCTAATTATCTTAAAGTGGCAAAATACTGCTGTAACCGACAACGAAGACAAAGACGACGATTCAATAGCACAGCTCGGCTTCAAACGACTACTGGTAGTGACGTGTAACACTTCTTCTTCGATTTCATCTTGGATCAATCGCTCCAAGCGTATATGCATCTGTATGCGTTCGAGCTTTGTGCTCTTTGCCTCTCTGTTCGTCTGTTCACAATTACAACTTAAATCGACCCATAATCATATTATGTCATCTCTGTGCAACAGCGTAAAAGATTCAGATTTTGATGTGCGAGAGAAAAAAAAGGTGCTAAAGCTGAAAGGAAAAAAAACGGCATGCCAATGACAGCCGCTATGCAACATTGAAACTCCAACTTTTCGATCATGTTGGTATTTTTCCACTATCGTTTCGTTCCAGTCTCTAGCAACTGAGCTAACCATCCGAGACTCTTGCATTCGATGTATGTTAAGTGCTCGAAGAAATGTTAGCCAACAATTGCTTTCTTTCCATTTTATTCTTTCGCACGACGGCGCCCTACTACACACATTGATCTTGAAACAAATATTCATCTCCATTTATATGACACGCAAACCGATTCACTTGGAGAAAATACGCTCTCAATTTTGCCGACGTGAGAGTGCAGCAAAGTTAACAAACTGATTGCTGTAGCAATGCAATGAATACATGACGAAATTCTACAATAGAACCATCTTTTTCTCATGGGAAAGTAACAATTTAAAGTGCACAATTATTCTATGTCTGAAGGTATTCAGTTTTCTCTTTTCATTTCGTAATCACTGGATGATTTACGGCCCAAAAATTACCTTATTTAGTATACGACCGGTTTTTATGACGAACCAATTTCATCATCAAGATTTCGTTTCGACTGAATCTGTATGCAAACGATACCAGTTTTTCATATTAAAATTTTCTGATGTGGCAAAAATGCGAACAATTTCTGGGCTATTTTTAGACATTTGTTTTTAAAATAAACGCGTCGATTCCGTTCACTTAATCGATAAATTGGTAGATACGACAAATTATTCAGCATGGCTTTTTGTTTCTTCTTTGTTTCTTTTTTGTTTCATTCAATTTATTTGTATACCATTTGTTTTTGTTTTATGGGTATTATTAACGAAAATAAACGTGTGTTGTTTTCATCTTCTTTTTTTTTTTCAAATTAAAAACGAAACTAGAGAAAAATCAATCAAAAACACTTCATTTAAGTTGTTGTTGGTGCTGGTTGGCAATCACAATCATGTATTACACATATGCTATCGTGCAATTTGCCCTGAGAAGAGCGAATTGAGCACGAAATAAAGAGAGACACATTCTGATTTTAAATGACAAAACGTTCAACATATTGGGTTGTGTTTGTGTTTTGTGAGTCGAATATGGGCATCACAGATCAAATCGAATATTCATTTTGCTTTGCTTCATCGCTATTTGCTTTATTTCGATTTGGACGCGATGCACTTGCACAATTTATTTGTATCGTTTTTGCACAAAAAAAACTCAACCCCTTTTTAATGTAGGAATGCAACATGTCAATCGCACCGCATATGTGTAAATCATTTGAATGTGAATTCATTGGCTTATTTGCAATTCAGTATGCACGGCATTAAATGTGAAAACGAAAGCTATATGTTCTTTTAATCATCTGCCGTTGACTAAAATCGAATTGGGTAAAAAGAGCACATCGTATTTGTATGTTGAAACAACTGCAAACAGTAATGCAACAAATCAAAATTATTTCACCATAAAAAAAAAATACACGAAAAAAAGACAAAACTCACCAATTTCCAAAAAATAACCGAAAAACACAGCAAAGGAAAAAAAAAACCCATTTTGATTGTTGAAAATGAATTTTGTTTTAGTTTATCCAACATCAATGCCATTGCCCATACCACTGCCAGTTGGGGATCCAACGCCTCCAGCACAATCAGCAACTTCACAAAGCCCCATGGCTAATTTAATGTCCATTACAGAAACTCTACCACCGGGAAGTCCAAGAAATGGCTCATCGCCACCAGGACCACCACCGCCACGAACTGCATCTCGCGGCAGTCAGCATTCGCCAAACAGCTCAGGTACGAATCAACAACGATCACCGTTCAACATGTGTTTGTTTCGAAAAACAAAAAAATTTTTGGGAATTTTTCGAGTTTTTTTTTTTGTAAAGCATAAACATTGAAGATGCTCGAATTTTTTTTTTTGGATATCTAATTATTTTCCATCTCTTTTCATAATTTACAGGCTCGAGCGGAAGACGATCATCAGGTTCACGGCATGTTTCAAGTACGACAGTAACATCATCCGAAGCACAGCAGCAACAGCAGCAGCAACAGCAACAGCAACAAAACGCACAAGGCAATTTGCCAGGCGTTCCGATTCCAGTCAGCAATGCATCAAATCTCAGTGTAAATGCTCCGCCACCTGCTGAAGGTCTTGTGCCATCAACTGGTAAGCCAAATAAATGAGCAATATTTTCACACACTTGAACGAGTTTGAATAATAATTGAATGTCCGTTTTTTTCATCGAAAAACGCAGGTAACACAACAGCTGGCGCCACTCCAGCACCAAACCCAACGCTGAAGTGTACATTGTGCCAGGAACGTCTGGAAGACACACATTTTGTTCAGTGTCCATCAGTGAATCATCACAAATTCTGTTTCCCATGCAGCCGCGAGAGCATCAAACGACAGGTAATTTGAGGATAAAATCAGCACGCATTGTATACAAATTTATGCAACTTGAATTTATTGTTGCAGGGTTCCGGTTCCGAAGTATATTGTCCCAGTGGTGATAAGTGTCCGTTGGCAAACTCAACAATTCCATGGGCATTTATGCAAGGCGAAATCGCAACCATTCTTGGCGAAGAGCTGAAAGTGAAGAAAGAGCGCGAAACTTAAAATGGAAATTGCTAACGAAATATGGATTTAATGTGAATAACAAACAAGAAGAAGAATGAGAAGACGAAAACAATTGTTCAGGAAACATACGATCAGTGTGACTCTGGTAAAAATTTAAACGCAACGTAAACGATATCAACAGAATTTTGTAACATCTCAACGAAGTCGAATCGTTTTATGTCGGCCAGATGAAATTGATCAATCAAAACTGATTTGTATTTAATATCTAACTGATGAAACAAAAAACAAGTTTGTTCTTTTTTAAATTGTAACAAAAAGCCGATAACACAAGATCATTTTTAATGAATGTAATTGATGATTACGTTACCTTTTCTTCAACGATCGCTTTTTGACACGTACACTTGAATATATGAATATTTGAGGCAGAACCAACTAAACCTATTTCGTATCGCATTAAAGAAATCCATATGTATTCATTGTCATACCGTATACACACTTACAATGGAATAGCGCCGTTTTTAAGGAAACCATCAATTGGTTTTAAAGTGAAGTGAGGCAGGCGGCAGCAGCAGCCATCAAATTTTTTGGATTTTGATTTTAAGAACAAAATCAACCGTGTCGAATTGTGTTTAATCAGAAAATGGATTGAAAGCTAGGTTATTGTATGAAAGAATACATCAAACCATTTATTCGTGAAACGATGCGCGATTTTTCTTGAGCAATATTTGTAGTGAATAATCTATTGAATAATTCAATAACATTTATTATTATACAAATGAGGACTATAAAATATGACATTGAACATTTTAATGGAACATTTAACTGATAAGATGAACATACATGTATTGTGAACCATTTGTTTTCCTTCTCGGACATCATGTACATGTCGCACCGAGAGAAAACCCAGAAATTGGTCTTTTTATCCTGCTTACAACAAGATTTACCTTGCAAAGTTGGATGATTTTATTATTATTAACATAAACACACATACACAAAAACTCCAATAAAAATGTTTTCTTTTTTCTTTGGTTTATCTGATAATATTTATTGATTCGGACATAAGGTGATTGAACAAGATTTAGAAAATTGAATGTACCGTTTCATCAAGATTTAAATTGAAAACGTTGTCATTTCTTGATAAATTCTTATAGGACAATTTTCTTGATATAAATTTGAAAAAAATAATAATGATAATAAATAATAGAAGAAACACAGTGGAAAATGTAACGAAGACCGTGGATATTTTTTAAGGAATCATTAGATTAGTCGAAGCAGATGAGGAACGTCTTTTTTTTTGTTCGTTTTGAATGTACAGTGATCAACAACATGTGTATTTCAGCAGCAATGAATTAATCAATGAAAATGAACGAAAAGAAGCAAATCGCACAAAATGACCATAAAATCATTGCGTGTATTGAATCTATTCGATTTGAAGCCATGAATCGTTTTCGGCGAAATTTTTGTAAATAAACTACATGGTTCGATGTCAAATGTTCTCAATTCAAATGAAAACTAAAATAAGTAATTGACCGATTGCTCTAATTGTGGCGATCAACTTATAAAAGTATATAATTTAAGCACCAATGCCCGCTATTTTGCATTCGAAATTTCCGAATGATATCTTTTTTTCTCGATTCGAGGAAGAATTCAACGGTAAAATAATGAAAGAAAAAAAATTAAAAACAATTTTTTAGATACATTGAAGTCGTCAAAACGAAAACTTTTTTCGATAAAAAAAAAAACTCAATACAAACACGTATTAGAACAATTTCTGATTTATTGAGGATGGTCTCTTTTTATTTTGTAGAGAAAAAACAACTTTTCGGTGTATAACAATAAACGTCTAGGATGAATACACAACTAACATACTTTCCTGTAGACAACAACAATAAAAACAAAAACCTAACTAACAGTAAACAGATATTTAGAAGATGAAGAATTATGGTGCAACACGTTTTGAAAAAACAATTTAATAAAATCGCAAATCTCTTAAGTTTATTGTCGTTTCTTTTTTTCATTTTGTTTATGAATTAATACTACTATATTATTTCCACCCTTTTTGTTTTTGTTCCATATTCATATGTTTGGTAGAATTTAGTTGATGTCATTGATTTGATATTTCACTGTACTCGTATCAGGCATGAAAGCATATATGCGATGGGCATATCGAACGGCAATGTTAAGCTAAGTTGTTTGAATGTGCAGTCACTTTGATGCGCAATTTTAAGGCAAAGAGCAAACGAGATAAAGGAATATAAGATAAAGTCAAGTGATGAAGCAGCGAATTTTGAAATGATATGTATATGGTTTGATTATTTTTTTTTGTTTTCCGCTTACCACATGGGTTCAATTCCCACACAAATCGCGATATACCGTTGCGGACAGTGCTTGGAACGCACCGGTCGAAACAGAACATTTTACTCCTTTTGACATTTACTGTTTTTTCCTATCAAATGAAAAAAAAATTCTTAGTTTGTAGTGGAATTCTAATTTTTAAGTGGTAAATACTAAAATGAGCAACATAAATACGCCCCCTCAAGCAAAAATACAAACACATTCAAAATAGCAACCCGATATTTATACACACAAACAAAATGTAAACTAGTGATTAAAAACTTAATAAAATACAAAGCAAAAGAGAAAAAAAAAAACAACAACATTTTTACAATAACATTGCTACAAGAATATATACAGGAAAAAATATATACAAGATACAAAATACAAAATTATATTAAACGATAAATGGTTTTTCGCCCCCTCTTCTAAATGGAAAATGCAAATAAATAATGATAGTACGAAATATTAGATCGATAACAAATTTTGAGAAATCATCAAAAACATTTATTACGAAAATCACATGTGAACAATACCAATAAACACACAATAAAACTGGACTAACACAGTAAATTCATTGTACTACTAAAATAACAACTGAAATCTATTTAATGACAAATAAAATTTAGCGATGAACATAAAAAACATAAAAAACAACAACATGTACGTAAACAAAGTTTATGCAGGTGTTTGACTTTGGTGTGGCTTTTTCGCAGGAACACATTCGATGTTATTTCCGCATTTTATGACGAATTCCACGAATTTCATTCATCAGCGTTCATTGCACTTCCACAATGTTTTGTTTTGCGTTTAATTTGTTTGTTTGTGATTCATTCTTGAATATTTGCTTAGACTTTCGCATTCATATCAAAATTCAAGCGTTGAACGATCAAAACATTATTCGTTTCATCTTTTGGTGTGCATGTTTTATTGCAAACGGCGCGGGAGCACTTTTTTCTTCACTGGTGAACATGCAACTCGCTTGAAAATTGATATGCGTGCTTTGCATGCCAAATTAAAAGAATTTTGATTTCAGTTTCACTTGTCTGCTGGTAGATTTTCACGAATAGCACATGTTACTCTAATGACAGGTAAAATAATTTCTTTCTTTTTCTTCGATTATTTGTTCTGTCCATTGTCAACAAAGTCTTATGTCTGTTTTTTTTTTTGCGGTCAATGTTTCTCCGTTGCTTCCTTCATTAATTCGGCATACCCAATTGTCACGACAATAAAAGAACCATAAAACTGCATATAATTTGTATTTAGACTGACAAATATCAATGAGCGTGATGTGACTTTTCGAAGCATCTGTCTTTTTTGCCACAATTTCGGGCATTTTGCATTAAGAATTTGAAAAAGGTGAATAGCACACATGAAAAAAGTGATCAAAAATCCGTGTGCGTGCTTCAATTTACGTTCATACACTCACGCTTTCGAAAACACTATAAACTCCGAACCGAATCTGTTGTTTTCATTCCACCAGAATTCCAAATGAATGTTTAATGCCCATGTCATATCGTCTTTTCATTTCGTTGCCATTTTTCGCCCATTCCTCATGTAGTCACCTGTTGTAATTTGCCTCTCATGAACATTAGGCATCGATCGCATGCAATCGTCTGAAAACTGTGCGTTTTTATTTTCGTTTCAAACACTTTTTGCTGTTGGTCGGTTGCCGGCGAACAGAGGATGCATAGTTAATTAGTTTTCGGCACGATTGTTAACTCATCATGATGGGACAATAATAAATAATTGGAAATATGGCATTATTTCGACAGAAAAAAAATATTGGCTCAAAACGACTCACCGATCAATATTATTTGTAAAAATTAAATCGATTTGCGATGGTAGTTTGTCCGGCCACCAATGCGTCGGACAACTATCATTAACTAACTTATTTTCAAAGGTGTGTTCCCATCAATGCTGTCGAAACTAAAGTGGGTTGTGCCGAAAACGGAAAAGAAGAAAAAGAAAAACAAGAGATGATGAACACAAAATTCAGAAGTGCATTAAAATGCAGTCGATAAATTCATTTTGGGGAAAATTTCTAAAAAGATATTTGACATCAATAATCAATGCAAAACGCAAAAGTTTTCATGCCAGATTTTGTTCGTGAAGCATAATTTCAATTTCATTGTACTTTCTTCGTTGCGTTCAGTGTGTTTGCATTAAGCGCGAGCTTAATTGTCTTTAGAAAAAATCTAAATGTAGCCTGATATATCCAAACACTTTCAACTTGAGAATTCCAAGTGTTATGATTCTGCGTGTTATCGTTTTCACAGAATATGAAGCTCAAGAAGTGGTCACAATCAACAACGAAATGAAATTTTCCGGTGGCATTTTATGTTAACATTTGTAAAATAGACGAAAAAAACTGTATATATTGTTGTTTATTTAGTATTTTGTGAAAGGGAAATATGATTTTGCATCCCGTCAGTAGGCTAACAAAATGATATTAAGTTGAAATCTATTCTTTAATTGTAATTAAAATTATTGAAAAGGATAAATCATAGAAGAAAGAGAGAAAAAATCATTTCTTTCTGCTTTACTTTAATAAAGTTTATGGCTGTCTAAGCCATAGCATAAATTTTAATTGCTGTCTTCATATGAATAAATTAATTAATAGTTATTCAAAGAATAATGAAAAAAGATATAATAATGTGTTAAATAGTAAACACACCGGATGCAGTAGCGTCCAGCTACTTAGATAATTACAAAGTGCCATTCATAGCTCCGCAAGTACATTTTTTTCCTTGAGTTTTCAAATTGTCGACTTCAGTTTTCAAATTGTCGACTTCAGTTTTCAAATTGTTGATTTCTTCCTGCAAATCTTCGTTGTGATTCGCTAGCCCGATCAATTTTGTTCGCAAGTCATCGATTTGAATTTGGAGGGCTGACTTCTCTTCTTGCCATGGGTTTTCATCATTCGGTAATCCAAGAGCATCAATGGTGTCTTCATTTGGGCAATCTGTTTCAATTTAGAAATTCTATTACAAACATTGAAAAAGAAATGCAATTTAAGGGCGAAAGCGGTGTGAGTGCAATATTCTTATTGCAATGTTTGATTGCTTTCGGGCTAAAAGTGTAAAGAACTGAGAGTATTTTATTCTTAGATAACATCCGGTTGAAAATTTGCCGATAAGAAACGACGTGAAAAATAATGCCATATTATTAGTAAACGTTCACGCTACGATTGTTATTTCTGTTGTTCGAATAATTTAATACGTTACCCATAAAGATCTTCTTGCGCTTTGCATCGTTATGCCCATCTGGTTGGAATGTGATTGGTGCTTGTCGTTTGTCCGAACTCTGAAAATGGAAATGAAAGTCCATTTATGTAATATTTCTTCTCATTATGCCAATTTGATCCAGAAAATCAGTAGCCATCAAACGACATGGTCTGTAATTGAACTTTACATTGTTCTTCTTTGGGATCCACGACAATTGTACTGGATGGAAAATGGTTGAACTGTGGATTATGCTGCCAATCAATTTGCTGATATTCGATGTCGTTTTCAATGCCGTGAATATGATTCGACGCTCATTTATGGTGGCGTCATCATCGCTTTTTTTCGGTAGGTTGCTTATGATAGCGTCTTCCAACTTTTTAATATTCCTGCGAAGATGAAAATGATTGGTCAATAGATTCCATGGATTGGATGTTTCTGTTAATTTGGTTTATTCAAAATCAGTTTTTACCCCTGTGTGATAACAGCCAAATACTGCAATGATTGGAATTCCTCCTTTGCATCATCGAATGTGAAATATTCGACACTTTGTTTGGCAACATTGCGTAGGACGTATAACAAGCATTCAGCATGCGAAAATTTGAACGATGAATTCTCGTCTCCCTCGCTGATTGGCATATATTCCTGAACATTTATAACGAAAATGTTAATTCAGGTGGTTTACAAAGGAATTAAAACGTTTAAAACATGAATTACACGATTCTATTGAAATATTGAAGCAAAATTGATTATGCAGTTTTACCCGAAGAACATTGAAAATAGCATGAATTTTCTCGTTTGGAGCATCGAGAGTTCCACAAAAGTCACTTATCTCTGCCACAATTTTCAAAACGCGCAAATGTTGTGCATCTCGATCACTGTCTTGGACGCCAATCTGTCTCCATTTATGCAAAGGGAATAGTTTTTCACAAGCGTATTTTATGAATGGCGTTGATTCAATCGTCGCCTGAGAAAGACACACAATTCAGTTTGAAATCTCACACATACATGGTCCACCGAACAATGTTAGAACTATTTCATAAAATTCTTACCGAAAAATACGGAAGTGCATGGGTAGCACACAAAATGAAGCGTTCAACATCCTCATTTTTGATAATGACTGGTTCTTTTTCATCGTTGAGGTGTGCCTGTTGAACAGCCAATGCAACTAATTCGGATTTTCCTTCGGGCGTTGTACCCAATTTGGTTTCAGCCAAAATATTCATACAAATTTCGAATTCAACGACTGTCACATCCTATAACCAAAACACATTACATCAAATTTCACAAAAATGTCACCCAATTGTAAATATTTTTCTACCTGTAGGATCTGTTTGAGCCCATCAATGATGAATATTTCAATCTCATCGGAGATTAACTTTTTTTCTAACTGCCTAAGCTCAATTCCAAGAAATTTGAAGTATCTGTCTCTGGTGAGTTCGTCTCTAGACGAAATTTTGCTGAACTAAAATCACGAATCAATGCGAATATTTGAATTCAATTTCATTGCAATAGAAAAAAATCAAAGTTCACTATGAAAGAAGCGAGTACTTACAATGCCAGCCAATACAGATTTATCATTAAATTTGATTTCACGATATTCTGTTTCATGCTAAAATGTAAAAAAAAGGATTATTTGATGAATAAATAAATAAATACCACGTCTAATGTCACAAAATCGAAATACTAACCTCAAATTTTTTTTCCTTAGCGTCGCTTAGAATTTCATAGTTTTTGTATTGTTTATCGATATTGTCTGCTTCGGTTGAGCTCATTTTCAATCAATTTTGTTTGTTACGCCAGCAAAAATGCACCTAAACTTTGATTTGATTCGTTTTCGAACGAATTATTTTGTAATTTAGTCACATTTTCTTATTATTTTTGCGAATACGATCGTGTATCTCCGGCTACAGCAGTAGTAATAATGAATTTTCTTCCACATACGAATGACAGCTATTATGAATTGTTGACTGCAGAGCACTCTATCGGCCATTTTAAATTCGAATTTCGAATTCCGAATGAAACACCAAAATAAAAACACCGTTAAAATTTTTAAATACATAGATGTTTATTTATTGAACTTGTATGTTAATATACGTAATAAAAAGTCAATTTCCTTCATTCCAATTGCGAAAAAAAGAAACAATTATATACCTCATGCTCAAATAAATTGAAATTTTCGTTTTTGACAACAACAACAAAAATTGCAATGCGAATACATGTTTCGAAAAATTTCTTATCTTCCATTCAAGAGGTTGTGAAACAAAAGAGAGAAAATTATAAGAATAAACTCGTCGCGTTAAATGTATCGCTGACGGAGACAATTAGTATATATGTAATAAATCCATTTTGCAATTGTATCAAAAGATACTTTCATTAAGATGAGCTTATACTCTATCCCGCGTAACATTGTTTTTGACGCAATTTTGAATGACCATATTCCCACATAAACAGGAAATTCAACGGAATATGTGTGAAAAAAAATTATCGGCGATAAATGTTGTTTTTTGCCTGCGATTATTATGTATTGACTGACATTGGTAGCAATGGAGACAAAGGAACAAAATGAACTACGATTGTTTTTCAAAAAATGAATTTTAATCATTTCAATGGCGAAACATAATGAAAGATAATGTATGAATAACAATAACAACAATAAAATCAGAACAATTGAAAATAAAACTGAACTTGAACTTGAACAAAAAATTTACTCGTATTTTTTACTGATAAAAACCGAATTTCAAACTTACATTTGTCTACAGAGATTCGAATCGCGTTGATTTAGTTTAGACTCAAACCATTTAGCTGTGCGCGTTAACCGTTCACGTCACGAATGGAGGGGCATTGTAAATAAACTTCTTTGATAATGACATAATGACAGCCGCTGCACAGACAAATAACACACAAACAAAATATCTCTTTTGCAGAGATACTCGGATCAAATTTCTCGACAAACAATACAAATTCCAGCTCATTGCATTTATTTTTTAAGCAAATTCAACGTTAGCATTAGTTGAAATTCATTGAACCATGTAAACTGTAAATGTCTGTATTTGAATAGTAAACATTGTATTTTGAGCGAGAATTGGAGAAGTTCGACGTTTTACGCTGGAGTAATTAAGTGACAAAGTGGAAAAAAAAAACATGACTGAACTGAAGCAGCCAGTTGATCCAACCAACCCGATTGTATTTTTAGACATTCAAATTGGTTTAGAATCAGGTAAGTTATTTTGCAATTGAATCGTGCGCAAAAATGATGTTGATTTGCAAATGTTTCAGTGGGCCGTGTAATAATTGAGCTACGAAAAGACTTGGTGCCAAAAACGGCTGAGAATTTTCGTTGTTTGTGCACTGGTGAGAAGGGAATCGGAGTTAATGGCAAGCCCCTTCATTACAAGGGCATACGATTCCATAAAGTCCAGCGTTTGTTCATGGTTCAGGGCGGTGACATCGTTAAAAATGATGGAACCAGCGGCGAAAGTATTTACGGGCCATTTTTTGATGACGAAACACTGACGCTACCGGTAAAAATGAGCCATTGCAATCCCATATTAATGCTTCTAATCAAAAAAAAAAAAATTTCTTACTTCCAAAAGCACGAAGCTGGTTCGGTTGGTATGGCCAATTTTGGACGACCGAACACAAACAACTCACAATTCTTTGTGACAACCGTTGACAGCCCGCATTGCGACGGCTCCAATGTTGTGTGTGGCAAAGTACTCCGTGGCCTTGGCTGCTTGCAAGAAATGGAAAAATTGGCATCTGACGAATCGGTTCCATTGTTGGTAAGTTTATCTTATTTCGGCAATATCCTTCAAACCTAATAGAAATGCATTTAACCAACAGGAAATGACCATTCAGAATTGCGGTGAGATTCGATCGGGTGACGATTGGAGTTTTTGTGATGATGATAGAAGCGGAGAAAAATTACCACCCTTCCCAGAAGACTGGGATCAAAAGGCGAATGAGTTTACGGTATTTATTTTGAATTAAAAAGATAGAAAATTAAATCGAAATCATTTGAACACATTTTATTTTCCGTAGATTGAGCAAGCGGTTGCAATTCTTGAATCGATAAAAACTGCGGGCAATTTGTTTTTCGGGAATAAGGAATACGTTGACGCCAATCGTAAATATAAGAAAACCTTGCGCTATTTCAATTATTTGAAGGACAAATTGGAGGCAATACATCGAAAAGGTTTGACTGTGCAGCAATTACGAGAGAAATTGCAAGCCTTGCATCAGATTAACTCAGTTGTTTGCCTGAATATTGCTGCGGTGGAATTGAAGTTGAATAATGCCGAGAATGCAAAGAACTCATGTGATGAGGTACTACTGAATGATCCAAACAATGCAAAGGCACTGTACCGGCGAGGCCAAGCTCATGTCGTGCTGAAAAACTACGATGATGCTCTAGTCGATTTAGAGCAGGCATATCGATCGTTGCCATTGGACAAAAATATTCAAAACGAATACCAACGAGCTAAGGAAATTTGGCGCAACTATCAAAATCAACAGAAGAATGTGTATAAAAATCTTTTTGAACGAATTTGAAAAGAACATTTGATTTGCAAGTGCCTAAACGTGTTCGAACTTCAAAAAAATAAATGTTTAAGTCTAATTTTGATTGTAAGCTACAACTATACACAATCCACCATCAAAAGAGATGGAGAAAAAAAAAGAAATGACGTAGAAATTCAGATTTTATTGCAATGGATTCCAAGTCTGATGAAAAAAATGTGACGAGACAATTTTTCCATTCATTGGAGACTATCGTGCTATTTTTCTTTGTCTTACCACTCAACCATAAAGGCCGCATTAAATGAGTGTCTAATGCATTAGTAAAATTATCCGCAAATAAAATTACGAATTTTCTGATCATAAAAATGTGTCTTTCATTTTGAATTTTATTTATGTCTTGTTTATTGATTTCGATTGACAGTTTTTATGTGCAATAAAATTTTGCTTAACGGCTCTGTAATGTGACAGCCATTGAGAGGCGTGCCGATACTATCATCATGAGATGGAGCAATAAATAAATATGGCTTGTCAAATTTGCCAATGGAATTTATGTATAGTCATCGGCACAGAATGTTAACAGAACAATTGGACTGGTCAGCAAATTGGAGCAGGGGCAGGGGCAGGGGCAGGGGAAGCCGATGAATAACATCATGTATGGTGAAATGGATAAAGTTTTTTTTTAATGGAATCGACACAAACCAAAATGAGAAATAAAGAAATCTCCATAAAAATGAAACTTTTCATCTTCATTCGGGTTAAATGGATTCGACCAACTCCTCTTATTCCACGCCTATGGAAAACTTGACATTGTATCACTCACTCATAGCCAAAAAGAACTTCAAAAGAACGCACTCACTGCAGGACTGAGTAAACTATTTGCGGGAGAATATCGAACGCAATGACAAATCAATTTCGAAGTGAAAACAAGAATTTCTGCATTAATATTCAATGTTGCCATACGATTGCCCTATCGTATCTTGATGCGATAAAGATATTTGTCCTTTTCGCTAAGATTCTTGTGACTACTTCGATGTGCGTGTGAAAACGTTCAATAAATCATAAAAATAAAGTGGATCGAACCGAGAATGGCCAAAAAGTTTTTCCATAAATATTGAAGTGTGAAACATGCGGAGAGCGCTTATCTGAATCCATATAGATTTCCGCATGTCCGCAAATCATCATGAAATATTAAATGAAATAAATTTGTGTTCGTATTGGTTTGGTCAATCTTGTTCGGGAGTGTGTGTATCCATTATGAATCATTTAACTGAAACCTTTTCGCAAGACGTTCTTCTGAACGTGCTAAGTGCGTGGGTACATGGTCATTTTTCCACTGATTCTACATTCGATGATGTACAACTGTAGCATTGCCCGTTTCTGTATCTTTCATGTTTATGGATCCAATAAAAAAGAAGTGGGCAAAATACCCTAACACTTACTCTGAAAAGTGCAAATATTTCAATCAAGTCCTATTAATTGTTTGACATGGTACAAACTGTACTTTCAATAAATGTTACGCCTATGTTACGCCTGTCAGTGGAAAATGTACGCATATTAGCGTCATTGATAACACAGAGAGGGAGAGAGAGGGAGAGACATAGATTACATCGTGTTCACTCAGAAGCGGCATCAAGCCAGGCTAAGCGGCAGGTGATTGATTGATGCGCTACACATTAGATATATTCGTTTGTTCTAATTCAATAAAATACAGAGCCATTCCACTCGTCGATCAATCGAGGTTGAAACAATCTGTAGAATTCTGTATTCTTACAATTCATGAATGTGCCTATACTTTATGCTTTCGTATTTTGGTTGATTTATCAGCTTACCACCCAATCGATACAACAGGGTGTCGATGGAATGATAATTTGGCGCACGAAATTTATGTGCGCCAAACTTTAAAACTAAAATAAAATTGTGGTGTTGAAAGTCGCTTCATATTTTATAATCAATTCCAGTTGGAAGAAATTTTCTACCGCCCATATCTCACTCATGCTATTAAACGCATCTATTTCATGCCATTAAATTGTTTGTCGTGTATGTTGATATGGATATTAGATGGAAGCGTAGCGCATCGCACACAATATGTTACTTCGAACACCCATGAGAATTAGCGCTCTGGCAAATATGCAGAAGAGAAAGTTTAAACCGAATCATACTTTATCAATGACGTCAATGCATACTGCGTGTGCATAAAGTGCTGAGCGTTTTTGTTCTTCATTTATATCCATCCACACACACACACACACTACAGTTACAGCGCAAACGATGGAATTCTAAGCGAAAAATTCATTCGTTCGGTCATATATTTCAAAGATGTTTTAATAATCGAACAAGTGCCGAATAAACAGAGCTGCTCGTGTATTCTAAAAGGGGATCAATGTGGCGAGAGAAAAAAATGTATTGCGATAAAAATTGTTTATGTTCTACTGAGAACAAAATATTGACAATAAAATGGTGCTGTGCTGCGATAGAATATGGTGTATGTGCGTTTGCTAACCTTTTTTCCCACTATGAAGGAGCAAAATACTTTTAAAAAAATTATTTATCATGGCAGAAGAAGAGAGAACAAAAAAAAAACTCATATTATAAATCGACGCTTTTTTCGGTATTATTATTTTGTTGGTGTTCGTCGTCATCTCAACACGCCATTGAATATAATTTTCAGATTGAGACTGGGGTTGTTTGCATCATTTTTATCCGACACTTGTGTGTATTTTGGAAAATTGAACAATTTTTGATGCGCCAGTTTTCACGCTTCGCATTTTTCACCATGGGAAATATGTTGTTTTAGTAACTTTTGATTGTGCTGTTTCCCTTTTTTTTTCATAACGATGCTTTATTTATTATTTGCTCGCATTATTTGTTTCCTGGCAATTTTCGAACAATTCTCTTTTTAAAAACAGTCTTTTTTCCCACACAGCAAACACAGCCACTTCAAATATGCATTTACCGAAAAACTCGATGCCCATTTATTATTGCTGTTTATTATTTCGATGTCACTAGTTTTTGTCTAAGGGGACTTATCTCTCGCGAATGCTGCGAATGCATTCGCATTTCAGAACAAAAATTCGAATGTTTGCGAATGCGACAAATGCGGCTATGACAGCGAACTTGTGACTACATAATTCATTCGTTCATTCGTGTTTGGGCATGCATTCGCAACGCTGCCGTATGATTTCTATGTAAACATTCGCACTCGCATTCGTGAGAACGTTCGAGAACAGCGAAATATGACTGCTATACGAATGCGAGTGCGAATGTTTACATAGAAATCATATGGCAGCGTTGCGAATGCATGGCACTGAGCGCGAATTTGTGAATAAAAATTCGAATGCCAAACCGACATAGAAGCCCCTAGGTTTTTGTTGCTCAAAAATCGAATGTACATAATAAAAACACATGAATATTCGGGATAGACTTGAAGAGACGAAGCGATACAATAGAAAAGGTTTTCGTAATAATCAATCAGTGTTGAAAAAATGTTGATTCATTTTTTGGAGAATTCATAATTTTCTTTTGCAAGAATTTTCGCAATTTCTATCACTGCTACAGGTGAGTCGAATTTATGATATCTTCTTAAATATGAAAAAAAAAGTTTGAACCGAATGATGCGTCTTTTGGAAAATATTCCTGGAAAAAGTAAATCGACACAGTTTGTGGAAAAAATCTCATCAGAGCTCAGTGTGTAAATAGTATTTACTAAATACACTGATCGATAATTTGAAGAGCTCAGCCAAAGTCAATCAAAAACCTCCAAATCAGGTTGTTGTTATTGTTGACGAGTGGAAAATGAATTTTAAATGGCATATTTAAATATGCACCTTGGATGCAGATATAATGAGGATGTGTTGGAGTAAACGAAGTATTATGCAATGTGCATGTTGCCACTTAAAATGCGAATCGTGCCCTCGATTCTGGATTGTCGTTCGAACGCCCGAAATGTGGTAAAAATACACAGAACACACTCCATCGCAAGAACCATTTACGTCGAATGATGAAGTGTTTGCACTTGGAAACTACAAGAAAAGACTGTGCGATTTCTCTATTTCGTCGATTTTGGACTTGGATCCATGCACAGCCAAACAAAGCATAGTGAACGAGAAACGAAATCAAGAGCGTGGCACAAAATCGAACGAACAAACTTTATAGACAAAACGTGATACGAATAATTGCATTTGGCAATGCGAATAAGAAAATATACTCAAGAATCGTTTTAATTATATTTGTATTTCAGATTGAGCGCTCGCGTTGGCGCTGCCAATACAGCGAATCGTGTATGAGAAACCAGAAACGCACACACGTTTGCCTCGACACACCGAAGCCTTTTGTGCTTGTACCGTACATGTTTTGCTTTTGTCTTTTCTATTTGGCTGTGACAGGATATATTCGCCTGACATCCACTGTTTCGTACTTTCTTGAATGCACAATTCGTTTCGGCCGTTTTCCAATGCTAGCTGTAATGCACCGTAATCAGAATCAAAGATGCACTCCCGACCCACTTTTCCCATTTGCGCATTGTTCGACGAGCTCAAAGCACATACACACATTTTCGAATTTTCAAACTGAATATTCGATTTTGAGTGAGACTCTTACGAAATTGGTGATCGTATTCAATTCATGTACTCCTTCTTATTCATGTGCACTGTACCCGTTTTATTGATGTGCTCCAGTGAATTTGGTATGCATTGCAGTTGTTGGTGCGCCTCTTGTTATCATTTCACTTCGATGATTGTATTTTAATTCCGATTTCATTTTCCGATCAATTTTCGACGTATAACACGAAAAATTCCTGACTATGGCATTGCAACATCAATGCACCGTCGCTTTTGTTTGATGCATACCAATTTGAGAATGAAGTCTTTCACTTCCTTTCAAACAATGGCTTGGAATACGATATTTGAATTGATTGGACACAATCAACTACGCAATTTTTCACGTTGAATATTTCATTTTCTTACTTGTTCGCAAGATCTGCAATTTGATTGTGCCCCGGAACTCCGCACCATTCTACATTTCAAGTTGAGAACCAAGCGTGCACACTGCACATCGTCCAAACCTTTCTCAAAAAACTAGGTTCTGTCATGTTATTGTAGTAATTATTTCGTAACATACATTTGTAATGGTGCGTCAATATCATTGCGTTGATTTACACGTTTTATGGCTTTGTGAAGTTGATATATCCATTTGAGATGTGAAACGCTATTATCGCCAATTGAAAAGCAATGTTTTCATTAAGAGTAAAATCAAAGCAATGCCCAGCAGCAATCGATTTCATTGGATACGGAACAGATGCGGAAAAAGAGAGTTAAAATCTCTAAGCCAATATGATAACAACGGAACATCGAGATTGAAAAGCGAAAAGCCATTCGCAGTTCCTTGTCGAAAATCACCTCATCAAGTACACGGGTTAAGATGGAATAGAAATGTCAATGGAAAGAGGGTGATTGTAACCCCATTCACTGTCGTTGCCATTCTGACACACGTAGCACGAATGCAATCGAGATGCTTGTTTGCAACGCTTGTTTAACGTCAGACATTCAACACCGACGATGAAATGTGACAATATTTAGTTTGAGTTTATTTCCGGTTAAATGTGTCAATCGGTTTTAATTAAAATGGCAACGGAACGGAAATTGCTTTACACATGCCTTCATCGTTGCTGCCGCAAGCTGTGCAAACAAATCGCTCGATATCTATTGTTTTTAAACGAGAACCGAGGCATATACAAATAAAGACAGAGACAGCCAAAGCTTCTGAATAAAAATCTTTTTCATTTCCAATGCGATTGTGTTTTTGTGCTGTCGAACCTTTTTCACGATGTGCATTTGCTGTTCCTATTGTTGTTGATGTTGATATTTTATTCTGACTTCTTTGTTTGTGCGTTGAATAAAAACAAACACTGAAATTGCATTGCAGCAATTCTATTAGATGCCAGTTTGTTTTGCCTATAGGAAAAATGAAAACAAAATCATTCTTTGCATTCGATATTGGATGGCACATCTTTTTTTACTCCGTAAACAATCCAGCGGTCATTGTCCGGTTGAGTTGGTCCAGCAATCACAATAAAGTGTTTAATTCATAACATTTTTATAGCATAACTGAACTTTGAATGAATTTGCATCTTCTTGGAATTCGGCTTTCGTATTCCATATCTGACTGATAAGTGATGCATTTTCGCTGTGTGCGAATCTTCATTTCCGTTACTTAAAAGAATCATATTCTGAGGAAATGGTCGTTTTTATGCAGTATATGTCATTTGAATTTTCTGATGTGACGCTTTCACAAATGGATTTGACAATTTGGGTTAACGTTTCGACTGAATCCATATTGGAGTGTGTCCAACATCTCAGGGCTGCAATAACCATTGCACTATGGATTTCGCCATTTGTTCAAAATAAATGACAATTCATTTAATCGTTATTATTGCTGTCTAAACGAGTTGAATCTGCTCATAATTCCCTTGTTTTTTTTATTCGTCTAAATACTTTCACATTTTGGAAGCAGTTTCTTTGGCATGCAAACATTTTAGGCATGGGTAGAAGAAAAAAGCGGAAATGTTCATTTCGTTTCGACGGGTTTTAAAACTAACGCAGCCATAAAACCAGAAAGAATTTCAAATGACTGCTTTCGTGCGCCATTTCGTTTCAGGATAATCAAATAATTTAAAACACCCGATTAAATGCAGTTTGGCCGCATAAAAAGAGAATAATCTTACGATTTTTAGCGTCACGATGTCGAAAAAAATTAACGACGTTCTATATCTCCTTTTTTTTCCCCACAATTTTCCATTAGCAAATGGTGTTTACAGTTTGAAATTTAATTTATATCATGATATATAGATACCGATGCACATCTCTGATCCGTTAATTTCTGTTTGAATACATCTAATACCTTAAAGGAGCATAAATATAAATTAGGTTGTGGGGCGTAATCGAAATTGATGCACACAAAGAACGGATTCATTTCTTATGCAGAATCGAATAAAGTGTGTGATCTATTTTCATGAATACGGCATTCATTATCAATTTATAACATGAAATCGGTGCAGACGATAACGGGACGACGCATGAAGGCGAATCTTGGAAATTAGCGATGAAAGAGAATTTTCTATGCCTTCGGTGCATTTGCGTGTGTGTTTGTGTTTCGTTTGCACTCATGTGCCGCATCCCATATGAATGTTTTAATTTGTATGGAAATCCGAGGATTGTGTACACCGAATCTGTATTTGTCTATAAGTGGGGAACCCAAATGTATGGCCGATGCCTTCGATTGTCTCTACAATCCGATAGATGCACAATAGTAAAGTTTTGAAATGGCTAATGAAATGATTTGTACACTGAATTATGCAATTTGTCTCGTCCAAATGAACCGAATAGGAGACTTTGATGTTGGCCGCTTGATCGAAAATGTGTGTTTTGCTCGATATCTATCGATTAAACATCACTTTAATCCGAAATGCAAACACATAACATTTATTATCATGATTTTAGTGTGTTTATGATGTACGTACCAGAATGAATTAACATTATTCGAATGCTGAATGGAACGGATTGTTTGCGGATATTGCATTTCTGCTACCTCGTCCCACGGGCAGAAGGGTCAAGAGCAGGACGGACGGGGAAGAGAGAGTGAGTGAGAGCGAGAGCGAGTGGAAGACCGAGTGAATGAGTGTTATCCGTGTGTTGGCCATTTGCATGTCTATCAACTGCACTTCTAATAATCTGTATAAATATTGAGCTGGTTTGATGGTATGGAAGTGTTCATGGCCACATCTATCCGCTCGACCGCACATGATTTGCGATCAATAAAACAAACACCATTTCCATTGTCTTCAATGGCCGATGATTTTGAAATGTTGCGCATATATTATACTATTTATAACATATAAAGTAGTCTATTATCGATGCAAGGCCTGACCATTTGTCCAAGCAAACCGTGAAAGCCTTGTCAATTATTTAGCAAATATGTTCATAAGCTAATTAAACTGTTCCTCATCACCATACCACTGCATGCACTTCGATTGGTGCAAAGCGATGTCAACCGTGTTGAAATCTAATCAAGAAACCTGTGTTTATTTTATATACCTAAACATCGACAACCATATCAGTTTACAAATTAACTCTTCAAAATGTTTACACTGTTTCAATTGTATTTCGTATACTCATATGGTGCGGCCAGCTATCTCGGTCGTTCTCCAATATTGCTCACCAAATGAGATAACGAACTTAATTAGCATTTTGAAATTAATTTTTCGTGTTGTTTATCAATTTCACACAACATTCGACTCACTTCCGATAAGACGAATCCGATGATTGGCAATTTCTTCGGAATGCATGTCTCCGTCGAAATGTCAATTAGTAATTCTCGGTGCATCATCACTTGCCAGCATTCACGCTGGATTATCATTGATTGAAAATCATAATTTTATAATTAACAGGAAATCGACCTAACATCCTAATTGCCATTGAAATGTACACATCCAAATACCCGAAAGAGACTCATTCATCAAATTCATACATCGATATGGATTTCGATTAATCTATCCCGATAGTTGTTTTCATCAACTATCAATGATACCTACCGTTCACATTGGCAAATGCAATCAGCATAACGGATTTGACTATTCATTGTTTTCGACCTTTATACTTGAAATTGAATTCGATTATCAGGACTTTTCATTGAATCTTTTTCGATTTTGAAGGTGAACAAATTGTCAGCGTTCAATTCAATTACAAACACATGTTGTGTCGTTTGGCCGCACTCCAAACTATCGAATACAAAAGCTTTAGCTATATCGTGTGGTTTGATAATTATATACAATTAAACTACACATCGACGCTTGCATCGAAGTTTGCATATAGTTTCGGCTGTGGACGACTCGGCTTCATCGGAGCAGCTCATTGAAACGTACGCATACTCGGCTTGCCAAGTGTACAAAATTAGATGCGATTACGAAAAAAGAGCAGCGCCAGTCACTTGTAAGATTTGCATTCACTTCAGTTTTTTGTGCGGTGTTGTGACGATCACACACAATACTATTTTCGTTGTAACTAGAAAAAGATTTTCGAAAGAAAATTCTAGACTTTTTTATCACTAAGGTATTTTCAATTTTCAAAAAATAGTGAAACAGATTTGAATTAAGTTTATATCAATAGATAAATTACCCGTGGAAATTGCATAAGCGATGCTTTTGTATTGCCATTTTGTATTATATAACCCTAAGTCATAATGAGAAACTCATGTAAGAATCATAGAAAAGAGATAAAATACAGGATACGAATGGGTAAAAAATAGATTCCTGTTATCATCCGAATTTGGAAAAACTGCGAAAGGAATTCAAAGTTTTTGGTTAACATAAGAAGCAATTGAAACATTTCTCATGCACATTGTGAAATTCATTTACGCGACTCGTAATACGAGTTACATAAATCAATTATTAAAACCAAAATGCAAGCATCATTCGACGCAATCGCTTTTGAAGCTCTTGAAAATAAAGCGTTCTAAATTTAGGCCCAGTTCTTAATCAACGTACAGTCTCTTAATGTCGTTTGTAATGAGGCCAATGTCATTTGCCAGCAACAAATGCACATTGAATTAAAACAAAGTAAACAATAGATGGTTATCCAACGAATATTTCAAACTTTTCTGTTTTCGTTTCTAAGGTTTATTTTTAAATCAAAGCCAAGATGTTTGCCTCCATCATGGAATCCGCACGAAACTCAACATTCAAAAATCCGTTCATTTCAACGGTGAACTGCGAATCAGCTGATTCACAAAATTTAGTAGCTGGCCGAACAATTGCCGCTGCCTCTGCTACCGCTGAAGGAGGTAAATTTCAAACAATTCAATTTTCGAATGAAATAAATTGTATTGAATACACATCTACTTAATTCTTCCAGACTCATGCGAATTTGGATCGCTACACTACTTTGCCCTTTGCGGTTTGGGTGGTGTTATCTCATGCGGTTCGACTCATACCATGGTTGTGCCATTAGATTTAGTCAAATGCCGTTTGCAAGTCGATGCTGCCAAATACAAGTTAGTAAAGAGAAGTCAACTGACAGTTGCATAAGTTCAAAAATTTGATTATTTCCGACTCGCAAAAAAATAGGTCAGTATTCAATGGTTTCCGTGTAACTTTGGCTGAAGAAGGTGTTAAAGGCTTGTCAAAAGGATGGGCTCCCACGTTTATCGGCTATTCGGCACAAGGATTGTGCAAATTCGGTTTCTATGAAGTGTTCAAAGTGCTGTATGGTGGTCTATTGAACGAAGAACAAGCCTATTTGTACCGTACAGTCTTGTATTTGGTTTCTTCAGCCTCTGCTGAATTCATTGCCGATGTTGCTCTGTCACCGATGGAAGCCGCAAAGGTCCGTATTCAAACTCAACCTGGATTCGCCAACACATTACGTGAAGCTCTCCCAAAAATGATCGAATCTGAGGGTATGAATGCATTCTACAAAGGCTTAGTACCATTGTGGTGTCGCCAAATTCCTTACACCATGATGAAATTCGCCAGTTTTGAAAAGACACTTGAATTGCTCTATCAGTGAGTTGATCGATCGTTTGATCGTATATTTGGACGTTTGGATTCATTTTCACGTTTGATTTCAGATATGTGGTGCCGAAACCAAGAGCAGATTGTACGAAAGGCGAACAGTTGATTGTTACCTTCGCAGCTGGTGAGTGAACTATTTTAACGAAAAAGTCCCAACCATTTTTCATTTTGGCTATTTCCCATTTTCCATTCAGGTTATATTGCTGGTGTATTCTGTGCCATCGTTTCACATCCAGCCGATACAGTTGTCTCTAAATTGAATCAAGCCAAGAAGGGTCAAACTGCAATGGATGTTGCCAAGGCTTTGGGATGGAACGGTCTTTGGGCTGGTCTAATTCCACGTATTGTTATGATCGGCACATTGACAGCAGCTCAATGGTTCATCTATGATGCTGTCAAGGTTGTCCTTAGAATGCCACGGCCACCACCAGCCGAAATGCCCGAATCACTCAAAAAGAAGTTGGGCGTTCAGTAAAACGTTCACCAATCGAATGTAACGTTTCAAACCACATACAAAATTTAGATGGTAATAAGACAATTGAATAAAAATCGAAAATGCTCCTAATCCATGCATTTTTCTTCTTTGGTTTCTGTTCTGAATTCGTACGTCATCTGAATACGTCATTCCTGTCTGATACTCGAAATTCAAATTGAATTCGATTGAGAACTATTTTATTTACTTTTAATCGAACTTCTCGCATCAATTCTGTCGTATAAAAAACATTGAACATTTAAATTTCAAAGTTGAAAATGTCCAAAAGCCGATTCTCTCACTCAAAAAATCTCAGTTATAACTCGTAGAAAAGCTTTTGCTCCATACTCAATGTTCACTCAAACATTTATAACTCGAATTATCGAACTATTTTCAATTTATTCCACCAAATGGGAGATAACATTGGAAGAAAATACCGCAATATTGGCCAACGTATTCAATTTCGTCGTTCACGTTCGGGTGCAGTGATAATTCGGTTGTGTGGAACCAATCGTGCGTAATGCGGCGATATCCAGCGCAACGCAACAAGATAATTTCTTCTCTTGATTTTGTTATTTATATCAAATACGTGTCGACGATAACTTGAGAATTCAATTTTGTTGAATATTTCAAATGGTTGATAATGTCTACAATCTAGCCACTTTCTCATTGCACGTTAGACACTGTCATAACAAATCAACAATTTAAGTACCACAAAACTTTTATAATTCGATAACGGCACCATTTATTTCTTAGCGTAACTTTTTTTTTGCAAGAAAAGAAGGCACAAAAAAAAGAAGGGAGAAATCGACAAAACTGTGCGCCCCAACCAAATTTATCGTTACTTCTTGGCAAAAAATCGACAATGATATAGCATATTTTATGCAGCAGGAAAATGCAAATATTTTTCTTTCAGATTTCGTGTGCTTCCTCTCCATTCGAATGAAACAAAATGGAATCTGTGGAACCCAACTTTTTGGGAGGCGAATTGAATCGGTAAGAAATGCCAACCACACAAATTCACATACACACACACACACACACACACATAATTTGTCACGCCATTTGACCAACCAAAACGCTTAATATGTAAAAATGATGGCGAAAGTTTCGAAGCCGTTTCAACACTTCCGCTTATCATGTATCACTTAGCTCTTAAGACTAAGAATTATTGGTAATTTTATTACATACTCCGAGGCAATAATTTCATGCAGCTTTTGGATGAAAATCAAATGAAAAGAAAGAAGAACATGGCGAGGAAATGGCCATAAAAACAAAAGGCAAATACACGTACAACAAAACCAAACTCAACCAAACCGTTCTCTTTTCCTCGTTCGCTTTCATAAATTCAAAACGGTCGACTTAATTTATGTGTTAGAAATGTCGAAAGTTAAACTTTTCGATTGAAATAAATGACTACTAACTCAACCCTTTTGGGTCGCTTACAGGCACATAAATCGTTTATTCAGTTAAATAATTCAAATATATCAATTTCTGACGGTAGCCACTTTTTATTTGCCCATCAAACCATCCGTATCAACAGAAAAACCTCGGACTTTCTGTAAGCTTTGAAAAAGTGAAATTTATTCAAGTTTTGCGTTTAATCAACAATTACACAAACTGTTTGAAAAGAAAATGTTTTAAAAATCGATCACTTTTCGAAATTGAATGTTCAACGTAATCGTATTTTAAACGTGCAGCAATCTAAATGAAGAGCATAAATAGTTTTTGAAACACAACCCCCGAAAAGTAATTTTCGACACATTCGTGGTTTCACATTCATAAATTGTATTTTATATGGTTGAATGTATTATTTCTGAATATATGTGTTGGAGGAGGACCTGCATTTTATGTATATCTATGAGTCTTCAGAGTGTTCAATGGAATGACATTATGTGTTAAAAAAAAGTCTCTTGATACTCGCCTAATGCGTATTTCGAATGTAAATCTCAGCGAAGACGGAACGAAACGAAATAAAAATAGATAGCGTTGAATCGCGTAAACTTGTATTTTTTTTTTCTTGCCGGAACAATGAATAATCACATGTTTTATCTGCAAGATTTTCGTTTTCCAACGTTCTAATCGAACACGACATAGTCATTTGCGTGCACATAGCATCGAATGTGTCGTTGCCAAAATAAAAAGAAAAATAAAATATATTTTCTAACATTGAACATTTCGCAAATGATATGGTTGGCAGCATAGCGCTTTTTAAGCCGTAATCAGTGTGCAACGTGATGATGCTACATTTCGCCTTGAATCGAATATGTGACATTATGTATTCTTAGCGAATGCTGTGCGAAAATCCAATAGCACCACCATCGCAAATAAATAGAATAAATAGAATAAATCTTAATTCATGTTAGTGGTGTGTTTATTCTTTCGATGGTTTTGGCTGCGTTTGAATGTTGTATCGTGACATCTAGTCCCAGCATATAGCCACAGTTCGCATTATTATGGAACAAGATATGGTTGCTTATTCGTATAATCCTTCTAACTTCGTGCCATTTTTTCCGGCATTTCCTCGTTTAATGTACGTCGCATATTCACACGCATATGTACGTGTGTGTGAGTTTCATTCTCATCATGCAGTTGATGGAATTATTATGAATACTTTCTATTGTACTGGCTTCAATGTTAAATGTGCATCCGGATAAATTCACAGTTCAAGATATCTCCCAAAACCATAAATATAAATAAGCAAAATTTGGGTAGAAGCGTGTGCAAAAATATTACGATATTCCTAGCAACACACTAATATTTTTTTTTTTCGGAAATCTGATTTCTAAATCAAATTCAAAGGAATCACTCACATTTATAACACGTATCTTTATTTAAATTTATTATATTTTGGCCGGTTTTTCATCATTTGTTCAATGTTATTGGTGAGGTTTCATTTAAAAAAATGAAAGATCTACGGCCAGCTTGATGACGACTTAGTTCCTTAAATATGTAAGACCTAAACAAAGTAGATGAAGATAGTTTTGAAGCAGTAAATTCGGAAAATCTTCTAAACATTTAGCCGCAAAACATTTGTATCAGGCAAGTTAGCGAATCTTGAAAGAATAAGTTTTTTTTTTTTAGTCAAAATTGTACAGTTTGACAAGGCAAACAATTTTGGCAAATACACCAAAACTACGAGTGGAACATACTCGACCTTATCAAAATTTAAGTTGAAAAAATTATACACTACTCTCAAGCTCACAAATAGATATATATGAATAACTGTTAAAAAATCTATCATTTTTGAGGTAAGGAATTAGCTACAATTAACAGCCTATATTTTGTTTTAATTAAACAGGATTATTTTTGCAGGCTCCTGATGATGGTTTCAATCGAAACCGAAACGTTGAGTTCAAATAAACAAACATGTGACCGATAGCCGATGTAAAACAACTCAATTTGTATACAATTAAAATAAAAAGAAATGACATAACAATAATAAATCATATCGTTATCAAAGACTTAGGAAAGTACAGATAAACCTTAGCACTAGCAATCTGTGTCATTTTTCATAAGGCGTCTCCACTCGCATTGAGCTTGTATTGTGAATGTTAAGGTGCGTGCAACGCCCTTCAATGTAAAAAACAATACAAGTGGAGATGATACACGGGATTTATCTGTACTTTGTTGATTATTATCTTTTGGACAATTTAGTTTCACTGAAGTGTTCGTTACTTGGTGTTTCAGCTTTTTAATACATAGATTCTGGTCATCATTTTGTTGTAAAATACAAGATGGTCCACATGAAGCTCAATCAAAAGAAATGTTTACGAATTTTCTATTTATTCATACAAAAGTAAGAAAATCTTCGAAATTGATTCAAATTTTTAAAATCAATATCATATTGTTGAAAAGAGAATTGCGCGCTTCGTGAGTGTGATTTTCTGGAATTTGATTCGGCGAATTCATCGCATCGATGCTTTTGTATTTTTTCTTACCGAACATGTTCTGTAAAAACTACTACCCGAGATTGAGTAATGGATTGGCCTAAGGACAATATCATTAGGGGCATTGCTCGCTTGATATGAAATCCGAAACGTTGCTCTCGAGCTATTTTTGGGATTAACATGCTTCATACTAAATTTCAGGAATCAATCCTTGAATATTTTCAAATATTTCAATTATTGAACGGAAGCACAACATTTTCTTATGAAAATTATTCGGTATGAAATGGAATTTCCGAGTATTTTCGGAAAATGGTGTTCGGATATGTTTCAAACATTTTGTCAGCAGCGAAATGATAATTGAACAAGAATAAATTGATGAAATTTATTAAAACAAAATTTTAAAGAGCATTTTCAGCTGGTCACGCTCCATTTTACTTGTATGTTAGTATCATTCAGTTTGGAATATTCAGTCATATCAGGTGTGTTAAGATGTTATTTAATGTTGAGTTGTTTTAATGTTTGACACATTTGCATACATCAACTGCACTCACTCGATTCTCATTGAAACAATTTAATTTAACTAATTGCATGACTGTTAATAGAGTAGATTATACTCAGGCGAGTGGATGTATAGAGCTTGGGCAATGACTGGCAAGCGTATATATCAATTGAAGTGGCTGTCGTTGACGTTTGGCACGTGTATGGGAGTGAACGCAGACGATAATATTCATAGTAGGTGTATCACCGCTGGCATTCACCTGTTCTTTGTTTTGTTTTGACTTTGCATTTTCGTATAAGCCACAGGATTATTATCCCATCAACGTTATGCGTCTGAATGTTATCAAAAGGAGACATTGTTCTCTGGATTATTGAGCGGTAAATCAAATGCGGTTTTTCCTGCCCGCCTTTTCAGCATCGTTCCATTCATGTGATTCGACGTTCTTTATCCGATTCGCTTCATTTGATGATATCATGTAATTAACCATGGAAATGATAACAAAAGGACGCGCGATGCTTTTGTGATCATTTCAAACCTAATCGCTGCTCTCAAAAGCATCCATTTTATTGAATCGAAAAGGCAAAGAGACAGAAAGAGTGAGAGATTTAATTACAGATCGTAAAAAATTAAATGCGGCCTTTGAATTAATGATGCCGACGTGAACTGGCGTAATTAATTTTTCCAATTTCAGCAGCGAATTGACA